GATGAACTGTGTTTTGGGGGTATTTAAATACCCCTTCGTCGTTAATGGGATATACAAGAGTATCAATGGTTATCTCGCATAGCAATTACTTTTTTTATGAAAGATGCCAGTGTGTATATATCATGCCTATCAGTAATTTGTATCACAACTAAAACATTCCAGAAATATCGAAATCATCTAAAACCCATAGATTGAAATATTATCAGTAGGGCTCGAAATTGTATGCAGTAAATAATCGAAAATATGCGCTATAAACAAGTAAAATTGCAAATAAAAATATTTTCCTAATATTTTATTGCCGGTACAAAAATAAATAACAGATGGATTTTAACAAGAAAATTACGAAAATAATTCACTTCAAAATAAAAAACATATTTATGTATTAAATTAGTTTATAATCAAGCAGACACTTTCAATCTGGTGTAAATAGAAACATATTCCCTGGTAGAAAATTTGGCATTTTGATTCCACAACTCGTAAAACCTACAGCCATTTGGCGGCTTTAGTGAATTTCAGTACGTCATTCAGGGAGAGGCAGCTGCACTCTAAAACATTCCGCAGGGATGGCTTGCCAAGTGTCTTAAGCCTTATCCTTGCGAGGGCTGGACATTCGCACAGGAAGTGTTTTTTTTTTTTTATTTTTATAATCAAATTTCTTAGTAACTTATAAGTTATTTTTCATTATGAAAAGAATCATTTCCGAATTATCGAGCAACAACCTGTTTCTATTTTCAACATAAATGCACTCCCGATGCACTAAACAATCTTTCTGAAAGCACAGCCAGATATAAATTATTTTCGGCGTAACAGAGATGCTTTTGCCTGACAACTAAGTTAACTCTATGCTTTTGAATAGATGACGCCACATTTTCAACGCATGCAGCTCACGCGCGTCAATGCAGCAAAACAAAAACAACAGCTGATTTTTGGCCAATCAAATTGAGCCATTTTGTTTGCGGCAAGGTTTTCATTGTATCGTCTCGCCATGTTGAGTGCGTCTTGTCAGTCGAAAGCATCCCTGCAACGCAGAAAAGATTTTATATTTGGCGGGGCTTTGAGTTCGCTGAGGAAGGTGGTGCGCAGAGATAGAGATACTTCATTGCCAGTGTAAACAAATTTGGAAATTCTTTGCGACTATGCTTCCACCAAATTAAAGGATCTTCGTGTGTGGGTATAAGGGGTAGCTGCAAATATTTCTCCATTTCTAACAATTAGGCATTAAATTACAATTAGGCATACAATTATGCATGAGTTGGTAACAAATAACCCTACTATATACATATACAGGATGCGTCACATATTTGAGGACACTCACATATGTATGTATGAATATTTTTGCAAATCCGAACATACACATTTTTTAATTTTTCAACATCATAAATGGACGGAGGAAGCCCAACTAAAATTTTTTAAATTCGCCCGATTATCTGCTTACAAAGTTCTGTGTGAACTGGAAGAATCTGACAGTGATATGGGGTTAGGTTCAAAACCCTCAGATGTTTTACAGACATTGCAAATAAAGTTTCCGGCAACTGTTAGGTTTTAGAAAGTGGTTTCTATTATATATATATATGGAAGTTTATACAGTCGATGTATCGATGCACTTATTTTTTTCTTTTAAACTAACATCTCTAGTACATTGAACCGTTATTGCAATTTTCAATTGTACAAAAAAGAGAAGTGACTTTTACCAAAAAATTGAAGTGCCTCCAAATGTTCCGTTAGAAAAATAAATAGCCAGTGGCAGTAATTTATTTAAAATTTTGTATAATTGTGCTAATAACATATTTTGTTGTGAAACATTATCTGAGAAATCCTATGCAAATCGATGCATCGAAAAATACGGATTTACATTCCGATGCATAGAATTACAGAAAAACATCGATGTATTTTTGTCACTGACATCCCTAGGGAGTCCAATAAACATTCCGATAATAACCCTGATTCCCCAAGAGCAGAAACTATCAAATTAATGATGCATATGGCACTTGCTCAACTCTAGATATTTAATACAATAAATAGTTTAAGAAATAGTTTAAGAAATGTCTGACGCACCCTGTATTAACATTATTGGAGATTAATTAGCCGTCCACACAACTTTAACGAATGCAATAAACGATTCAATAATATAGGTACATATGTATGTACATTAGACCATACCAACTTACAAGCAAAAAATAAAGTATTTTGGCAGGGCAATTTCGAAAACAAAACTTTTTTGGCGAACCTAGCGGTGGTGTTTTTTAATTTTTCAGTGACACCTATGTATATGTATTCTATATTATATATTCTATATTTTTTTAAATAGTTCTCCCAGAATAATCGAAACACTTCCTTAGCAAAAGTTTAATGATTTTAGATGAGCTTTAATTTACTTACATTAGGGTAATAAGAGTAAGATATGAGAACAAAAAATGTTATCCTCGAGACAAGACAAGAACGTCAAACAAAAGACAAAAGTCCTTCGTAAGACAATTTCCAATTCTGCCAGTTATCTTGAAAGCTCCGTATTATCTTTCGAAAGACTAATGGAAGGATCTGCTAACGAGGAAGTCTTAGCGCAATGCAGTTCCCCTCTTAGCAATAACCTTTTTAAAAATTACACTTTTCTTTTAAAAACAATAAAAAATTCAAATAAAGCAAAAACAAATTAAAAAAATGTTTTTAAAAATTGAATTCAATTAAAAAAATATTATTTCTTTATTTTAAAACCAAAATCTAAAACTAAAAGAAAAGAAGATAAAAAAAAAAACAAAAAAAAGCAAATAAAATTCATTTTTCTTTTTAAAACAAAATCTAAAAGCAAAAAGAAAGTGGAAAAAATTTAAAATTTTTTATTAACAAATAAATAAATAAAAAAATAAAATACGATTCTACTAAATTTAATTAAATTAACTTTTTTCTTTCCAAAACAATAAAATCTTAAGAAAAAAAAAATAAATAAATAAACTAAGTTTCTACAAACTAAATGAAATTAAAAAACATATATATTTCTTCTTAAGAGAATAAAATCTAATAATTAAAATAAAATTTTATTTAAAAAAATTAAATAATAAATAAATAATTTTGAACTCGAATCACTCGAATGGCATACGCCAGTTCTTTGCTCACTCGGCCATTTCGAGCTAAGTGATGAACAAGTGCTTTCACTCAAATTACCGTTTCACTACGAGTGGTTAATGACAAACCTATTTTCTAAGTCTTCTGTACTAGAATAACAAAAGTCTTTCGAACTATCTTGACATCTGTCTTTCTTTTGTCTTGCGAAAGGCTTTTTACTATCTTAGCTAGAATCGCCCTGTAACACTCTTTACGTTATAAATAGTTTTTAAACGCAAAAGTATTTTAGTATTTTTATATAAACTTGTAACTTGAAAGAAACTTTGCGTATTTTCATAAAAAATTAGAAACTTCATTTAAAATTTAAGTTGCAAAAGTACTAAAATATGTACATATGTATGTATGCTTATGCATACAGAAGGTCGAGTTTTTTACACTATGTTGATGTTTATTATTTTAAAAATGTAAACAAAATATTTACAGATGCATTTTTATGCATAAATATGTACGTTTATATATACCATGTGTTACATATGTATAACAGAAATGCACATGTCAATGCATACTCGTACATACATACATACATATGTATGTAGCACATCTTCTTCATACCCTGCAAGCCATGGCTGAGCAGTTTCCCCTCAAATTCGACAGCTATACACACACTTTCGCAACTTTTTAGCTATCACACGCACACATTTACAAATTTGGTATTCGAAATGTGAAACATTTTTATTTNTTTTGTGTACGCACATGGCGGTTAATTAGCAAAACAAAATAAATGAAAGCATTTAAAAAAAATCAAAAAACCAAAATAAAAAGATGACACTTTTTCCATATATTTTCGTGCATATTTTTGTCGGCGTTTATAAGTATATGCATATGTATGTATGTACGTATAGCCGCACATCTACTATGTATGCGCATTATGAAAAATACTACATACAAAAACGCATACATATGTACACACATAATCAGACAAACTAAAATAAATTTTCGGCATTTATAAATAGCATTAAAAACCGAAAATTAAGAAGCAAAAAAAAAAATTGCAAATCATTCGCAAATTAGTTATAATTGCAGAGATGACCCTTTGCACTGTGTACAGCAAAAATATTTATATGTACATACATACATACAAATTTAGTTTGTAGAACACATTTCACTGTGAAGTAATTTAAAATGTGAAGTTAATATTTTTTTTTTGTTTTTTTTTGTTGCTTTCTCATAATTAACCCTCATCACCCGTACGGCGAGCGATTCCGCCTGTGTCTCTTGTCAGCTGTGGCGCCCGGTTAAGCGGTCTAGCAACTATGGCGAGTGTATATACATACATACATACATACATATGTACTTGTTTGGCTTGCTTGCGGCTTTGATTAGCATTCCTTCGTATGTAATAATTATTATTTTGAGCATTTATGTAGTTTTGTTGATTAGGCTTATCAAAACAAAATTTCAAATTGTTTAACAACACTTTAGCACTACAACAAAAAAAAAAAAAACATAAATATTGTATTGCTTATTTTGAACAGAGGCACTGCTTCACTTGTATTTTAGATTATTATTTTTTTTTAGCATTATTTTACGATTTCAATAACTATTTTTATGCTTATATACTATGTATGTATAAGCGTATTTTAATATTTTTTTTGGGGTTTTTATGCCATTCCACCTTACAATTTTTGCTTTGACCTTGCGTAAAATTTCGTTAGTGAAATGTCACAGATTTAAGCCAGACAGTCGACGTTGCGATCGTATATTTGGTATGGTTTCTTGCTGTTGTTGTTGCTTAATGCATTGCAGAACATTTTATTTGAATTGATTTAAATTGATATTTATTTTCTTCACATTTAGGAGAATTTTTATTATTTTTATTTTTTTTTGCCAGCTATTATATTTTGTTTTTAATAAACGAAAAGCGAACGCGTGAACTACACACGAAAAGACAAAAACACACAAAAGTTCACTTTTAATATTTCGACTTCTTCTACCGTTGCGTCGCTTTTGTGCTCGTCGTCATCTTGGACACGGTGCGCACAATAAAGAGTGTCATTCAAGGGTATTGCAAGGTCGTATCGCAACTTGACGGGTGTATGGCTCGCTGGTATAACGAATCCCACCGCGCCTGCCTTAGCTCAATGGTTGGTCGTTCGGTTGGTTGGTTGGTTGGTTGGTTGGTTGGTTGGTTGTCCTCCGCTCTCTGTTTTGTATTTGTATCTCATTTTTGTGCTAATATCACCCTGCTCGCTGATTCTGGCAGTAAGATGTTTATTTTTTCCATTTTCTCTCTTCTGACATTCGGCTCGTGTACGGACTTAAGATACTCCCAATTAATTTCGTTCAGATGCACCACAGCTGATATACTTAGTAGTACTCCCAGATGTTCATTTATTCGTATATATTTATGGATGTAAGAAAGTATGTAAATTTGTAAATATATATATAGATTAAAAACTAAAATCACTTCAGTGTCGACAACGTTGGCGGTATACAGCCAGTAATGTTATTCACGTGCGAAATTTACATATTTAGTACGTGCTACAAGTGCCATACTAATAAATAATTACAGGCGACTTTAGACTTTCTCACAATCAGTAGGATTTTTTGGCATTTGAGTGGGTGCTAAATAGCCGCACACAAACTGATGTACACACATATATGTATATATACGGGTACAGTGCCGGCCGCTGACATAGCGCCCCCTATGATATTCAATATTAACAGTTTTCTTTTTGTTTATTGAAAATTCATTAATTTTTTATAAAAATTATAGCATATTTTATAACAAAAGGCATGTTAATACGATTTTCAAACATTATACAAAATGTATAACAATTAAACATGTTTTCATCAAAATTTCAAATTTAAGAAAAAAATATAAATAAAAAAAAAATTGCATAATATAACAAAAATCCTGTAAATCCAAATTTTAGACCTCAAAAAAAATAAATAATACTATAATAAAACTGTAGAAAAGACGTGTCTGTTGAAAATTTCTTTAAAGAATGACCGAATGTGAGGCCGAGAATATAATACATTCAGGCCATTTTTAGAATTTTTGTCTGTCTGTTTGTCCGTTTGTGTTTGCACCCACTAATCTCCGAAACTACCGAATGGATTTTTATAGAATTTTAAACGGTGACTAGGCAGTAACCTTGCTACTAAAATAAGATCTGGCAAAGGGGGCGTGGCACCTCTCACAGGCGTGACAATTTTAATCAGCTATAAATTTGAAACCTAAGTTACATGACTTTGAAATATGGCGTGTTAACATACATATGTACGTATCTATGGTAGATGCTTATAGTGAAGTAGTTTTTTTTTGTAAAGGGGAGTGGCACACCCCATAGGTGTGAAATTTTTAATCAGCAAAAACTTCGGAGCCGATAGTCACGTGACTTTGAAATTTGGTGTGAAGACAGATGTATGATATATGCTTAAAGAAAAGTATACGTACATACAGATGCGTTCAACTAATTAGCAACCTTAAATTAAACAAGAAAAATAGTTTATATACCCTTTAATTTATGGTAAATTCAAAATCTTTCTTACTATTTTATATATGTATTTGTAAACTTTTTCAAAAAATGGTGCCGGCAGATGGCGTTGGTGTCGAGATATTTAGAGAATCCATCTTTATTGTACGATCTCAATTAACGGGTATTAACTTTATGATAAGAAGTGCTTCTGCAAAAAAAAATTACCCAAAACTTAGATGGCACTGGCATCAAAATATTTACATAGATACGCCTCTACAAATTTACTTTTTAGATGGCTTAATAAGCGCCACGATATCCTAGACACATCAACGGGTCATCGGTATATCAAGAAGTGTGACGAATTAGAGAGAACATGGTAGGAATATCAATGACCCCATTTGAACGGGAAGAAAACTCTTTCATCATATCTCACAGGTGGAAATAAGAGCACATAGCATCGAAGCATCTACAGTCCTTTCATCCTAAACCAATAACTTTTACTATACAAACCGTTTTTGCTTTTCAACACTATTTTTGTATTGGTCAACATAAAGGTTCTTATTAGGCGTCACGAAGCAAGCCAGGCGTTTGCCAGTGAATGAATAAAGTAAAATGCAGCTCTACAGCCCCGTTCACTTTTCATTAATAAGCTGCATGTTTCTAAAAGTCGCCAAGGGTGTTGCGCCTATACTTTCAAACACATTAAAAAAATAAAATTTTTAAATCAACGCAATTTTTTTAGAAACTTGAAATTTGCACCTTATTATAGTAAAATTTAATGCGCTACAAAAGTGCAAATGAAAAACATTCTAAAAACTATTTTAAAAAAAATTATCAAAATTTGTTAAATTATTATACTTTTTGTATAAAGTATCGGAATGGGTTTTAAATCGGTTTTCTTAAAATAATATGCCAAATATTAAAAAAAAATAATGAATTTTAATTCAACTGAAAACTGTAAATCAAAAGTGAACGCTATTCATGTGGCCGGCACTGTATATAGTGTGTATTTATAAACTTANGTTAACGCTATTCATGTGGCCGGCACTGTATATAGTGTGTATTTATAAACTTACAATCATGAGTATATTCGAGTTTATTTATGCTCTTATGAGTCTTATCTCTCAGTTCTCAATCTCATTTATACACACACACATTCATATATGTATGTATATTTATTTTGTTGCTTTGTTGTCTTGTGTTGTTGGCCACTGCACTCCTGACTTTCGCTTTCAACTTTTGCATTTCATTTTCATACATATATACGAGTACATACATATGTACGTCTCGGCCTTCTAGTACTTTTTCGAAACGCGTATTACCTTCTTCGGCGCATTGCATTCAAATATTTAATAAAGTTTTATTTATGAAGTATGTATGTATTTTATTTACTCGTAATCTTCGTATTCCAATCAGTTTTTTGTTTATTTATTTATTTATTGTTTTATGTATGCACTGTATATCCTATCTGTTCGACTATCAACATATTTTCAATGCTTGCAAAAACCTTTGCACTTGCCCGGCGTTTCATGCGTACTCAGTACTCACAGCTCATTTACTTGCCTATAAGTAGTTGTATAAATAATAAAATACAAGCCGCATAACGCACACTTTCCGCAAAAGCATGATAACTCAAAATTGCTCATTTACCAGAAGATACAAAAAAAAAAATCGAAAAATGTATTAATCTTATGTAGAAGCGAGAATTTAACGACGCATTTGCAGCAAATGACAACACAATTTTGCTGAGATTTTTGCTGGTAGTTAACTAAATTAATGAACTGTGAACTTATTTAGTAGCTAATATCAAAAATTACGATTTTTGAGTTAAAACACTTTTTATAAAGTTGTGCGATATGTATAAACAAGGGTGGTGTGTAAGAGAGTGAGCCTCATTGTCATGGTGATGTATATATGTATGTAGGTACATGTGAATGTAATTTTGTATAGAGAGATTGAGAGTTGAATTTTCGAATGTTGCCACTAAAATTGAATTTTTCTTCGTCAACATTTTTTTACGAAAAAAAAAACAAGACTAAATTCGATTTTTTTAATTATACATAATCGAAAAATATTTATTTCTAATTTTGTGGTTTTTACTGCACATTAGACTGACAAACGCTTCGCACAAAGAAAACTCGGTTCTTCTTCCCCATGCGAATTATGAAATTTGATAGATTTATTTAACTGCCACCAAAATATTTCGGGTTAAATCAGCACTATTCGTAAGCTGGACATAGTTTTTTATGAAAAAAAAAAAATTATGCATATCACTAAACTGTTTTTCTAANTGCGAATTATGAAATTTGATAGATTTATTTAACTGCCACCAAAATATTTCGGGTTAAATCAGCACTATTCGTAAGCTGGACATAGTTTTTTATGAAAAAAAAAAA